AAAGTTGCTCTGATTTCAGACATTATGCTTCCTGTCACATGTGCCGGGGACTGGCTGCCCTGCTGCCGACACAGGCGAATCCTGGCGGGCGTCAGTTCACAGCAAATCAATGAGAGGACCTGAAAGAGAACACCTCTGCTGGGGGGGAAATGGACTGCATTGATCAGAAAGACACCTAAAGTCTTCTACAGATTCAGAGAGAGCTTTGTATGTGTGTTCATCTCTTTAATGAAAAACCAAATGAGCAACAGCTTTAAGTTTACTCTTTGACGCCTGAAATATTCATGCTTTTCACCCTCCTTTTTTGTCTACTCTCTTACCTCTCCCATCCGGTCTCCCTGCCTGTCTCCTATCCCTTCCTTCCTCTCCTTTCTTCATCTCTCCTCCCCTAACTCCTCTCTTGTGTATCTCTGTGTCCTCCCCTGCCCCAGACCTGCACCCATAGGATATCATCTAACTTGGCAGTGTGTCCTTGCCCCATACAGTGGCAAAGGCATGCTGCTGTCCCTGCCTTTGTACACAATATCTTTGTCCTGAAACACCTACACACCCTGTTCCCTCTGTATGACTATATAATTTTCTCGCAGAAGTCAGATTGTATTATAATGTACCCAGGAGATGCATTGTCTGCTTCACTTAAGATGAATCGCTTGTGTGCCCCTTCAGTCCTACCTTTTAACTCTTTTTCTGGCTTTCTCTGTGCAGTATTGTGTAGAGCTAAAACAGCCCAGCAAGTGCAGATATTGCATCGGAGGAGAGCTCTCCTCTGCAGACACTGCAGTGCAGCCTTCCCGCTGCAAAATTCTCCCTTCTTCACCTATTTCTGGAGTCAGTGGCTGGCCTGGGAGAAGTTTGTGGAACTTGTCCAGATGCCAATAGCATCACCTAATGTCATCAATATTGCTCAGTTACTGTCCACGTTTTACAGTGTTTCTTGTTTTCATGAAGGCAAACTTTTGTGTATTTATAATTTAATTGGAAGAAATTGGATTTTTTTGGAAAGGAAGAGGTAAGGAAGTCTTTCATTCAATGTTTTGCTCATGTGAAAGCCTAACATGTTAATAGCTGTAGCAATCATTAGGGAAATTCTTTAAGCAGGCTCTGAAAATGTTAAATAAAAAGACAAATTCATAGAGTCATTGTCCCCCATTCTCTTAATTAGTTCAATACAGGATAAGATTTTGAAAGACTGTTAGGTCCATAATGTTTTGGACAGTGACACAGCTTTTTACCTGTCACCACAGTGCATTTTAATTCAGACAATCAAGCTGTGGTTAAGGTGCAGACTTTCAGCTTTAACGGGTTTAACAGAAGTAATGTATTAATTATTGGGAAAATACTAGAGATGGCATGATACCACTTTTTTGTGTCCGATACCGATACCGATATCATAAATTTGGATATCTGCCGATACCGATATGAATCCGATATAGTGTGTTTTTTAATCAATAAAACTGTTTTTTTAATATCTTGCTGCATTTTGTATAAGTTCATACTCAGGTTTAAATAAACAACAACACTGAAGCTATTCTGTTATACCTGTATGTAAAAAAAACACACTGCACCCAAAATATTTCATAGTTCAGCAATACTGATCAATCTAATAAAGTTAAACCTACTCCATCCTCCCTATTCTGGTATTTTAAAGAGTACTTAGCAGAAATATTAAGCAACCTAACTAATAGGGTTGCAAACTCCCAGCAAAAGAAAATAGGGAAACAACCTCCTCCTCATGATGCTTAATCAATGTAATCAACTTTAATTTGATGCAGGGTGAAAAAAATTCACAGAAATAAATTATTTTTCAAGAATAATTAAATAGATTCAACATC